GCTTTCCCTCAAGTTCTTGTCAGCCTCTCTACCATACCTTATTGGGCAAAAAAAAACATTTTACACCCTGCCTGAAGCACAGCCACAGGTTCATCTGATCATACTGCACTGCAGTTTCTTTTAATATTGATTAGAGCTGGGGGAATATATTTCACATTTTTATGCTGTTGCATGCAGACAGACAGACAGACTCTGTGGAGATAATTGAATAAGAAAAACTTTTGGTGTCAAGATAGACTGCAAAAGCATGAATGAAAAAGGAAAGGGGCATTTTAAACTATTAACCCTGTCAACAATAAGATAGTCACACAGCAGAGAATGATTATTTGGCTACCACTTCTTTTCTTTCCCCTCATACCACCTCCACCAGACTCTCTTTGTGGGATTAACAAAGCAATTTTTGAACACAAGAATTGACTGTTGTGAGGATGTCTGCAGTGCGTGTCATAGCGGAGTGCAAATTTCATCATGCGTTAGGTCTGGCATGCATGTTAATGCACACTGGCTATGCTGTGAGGTGATGTGGGCTGGCGCCTCTGACTAAGGGTGAAAAGAGGCTTGGTGTTAAACAGCACCATACACTCTCTATGCTTAATGTTGAACTTTATTTCCTCTTTTTCCCCATGCACCATTCCACCCTAGATGAAACCCTTGCCCCCCCCCCCACAGCCTTCCGGTGTTTTCACAATGAAAGCCTGAACTGAATGTGTCTGTAAACATTCATATATAAACATGTACATGAACACATCTTAATGTATGGAACTTAACATTGAGCATCAAGAAAAAGCCTCATGTCAACACTTTGCTCTTTGATCTGATCATATAGAATAGTTTATGTATTGTTAACAGTTACTGAAGAGAATGGTGCCCCACAAAATGAAGCAAACAAAAGTTTAGACGGAATTAATCCGCACATATGACAGAGACAACTACACACGGAAAATATGACCACACAAAGACACAATTACCTTGCAGAATTGCTGACTGCTATTCCCGGGATGGTGCCGTCCTTCTTTGAGGCCAATCCAGTTCCAAATCCTGTCATGACTTATTTTCAATGACTTTCAGTAGAACTTCAACTAAAGCTGATTTGACTACTCAGTGCTGGTGACAGCGACTCTCCTCATCTGCAAGCCACAGCTTATTGCCTCATCACGGTTGCATCTCAGGTTGCATTTGTGACTACGTCCTCTTGTCGAACATGAAAAGAATGCAAAGTGTAAGCGTATGTGCACATAAACCTCGGACGTAACTTAATTCCATGCAGTGTGCTGTAGTGTTTCCTTACGGAAATAGATAGAGATAGGTTCTTGCTATCAGTAGTAGGGTTCTGAAAGGGTGTAAGTGAAAATGAGGGAGGAGACAGCACAAAAACATAGGAACCAAGCTGTGACTCTGTCAAAGACATTCAAAAGTAACAAAATATGTTAAAGCATAATTCTTGTGAGCCAGGCTTAAGTGAAAAGAAATCAAACAGAAATAAAGTAAAGTAATCTGTGGTACTCGGCAGGTGATGTTACAGGACTAGCAGACTGTGCGAGGCAAAATGTGCTCATCCTGGCATCTCCTGGGTCTAGGATAGAGGAAAGGTTGTTCGGTATTTAGTTAGTCTCAAGCATGAACCCACCTTCTTATGCAAATGAAACCTGGACAAATTCAGACTTCAAAATGATTGGACCGGTCCATGTAAAGGCACGCTATTTGTACCTCTTGTGCACAGAAAACAACAAAGAACACTATAAATGTCTTTCAGTAACTGGTATTAAAAACTAATAAAACAGCAAAACTAGTAAAAGTTATTCTTCTACATCACACACACACACCACTTTAATGGAATCACAAGAATCCAAAACATTTAGAAGACAGTACAATCAGTCTTTATTGTTTACTACATATACTGTACAGTCTACATCAATATCTGAATGGGGTAAAAGTACAAACAATTCTATATTTTTTCTGTTTGTCACCTATTTGGCAAAGGTGTGTTTAACATTTTGTTATAAAAGGTCATTTTACTCTTTAGTGTGGTTACGCTGACAAGTACAAAAATCATGTTAAAAGGATTTTATAATTCAGAATGTAATTGTCACATTTCAGGGTGCGTATCATATTTCTTCCTACCCTGTTTTACTGTTAGAAGAAGTCACCATCAGTAAGGCACTTAGCAAACGCTCCAGTGTAGGTGCTACTGTAACAAAGAGGAGCGTCTGTTTCCAGACATTAGACTCTAATGTAAGTCTGGGGGAGTTTTTCCTCCTCACTAATGCACAAACTCCTGGGAAGCGATAAAATCTGCCAGCGTGCCACACAAGGAAAAAGTAGAAGTAGAGATGTAACCAGGAACAGAAACACTGTCATCTCTCTTGAAATGAAGGTGTTTCAGTCTCAAAAAGAATTCAGAAAATATCAGTGGGCTCCATTTACAGATCTACAGTATATGTTTATGCTCAGAAAAGAGACAGCCCTGAAGATAAATATGAAGGCTGCTGTGTTCTGCTGAATAGCTATTGTTTCTGTGCTAACACTGAATGGCCCACCCCACATCCACTTCCTATGAGTAAGCCTGGACAAGCATTCTTCCAACTAAGCACACAACACATATTCTGGGTCCATTTAAAATAACTATGGCATCATGCTGGAGCAATAATCACTGTGCTGAAACAACCCAGATAAATCTTAGTCTTCTAACATTGTGTGGGCCAGTCTAATTACACCACACAGTGTAAACAGGACCATCTCATACATTGCACTCACTCAGTTTAAAGTACTGTGGTGTAAAACTACAGTCATAACTTCTGTTGACATACTTGGGGAAAAAAAAACCTACAGACTATTTTCTTAGTTAGCATAGCAGCTCTGATGATTACTCGGTTGAAGAAATAGACGAAAATTGATGTGCGTTTTCCAGCAGTTGGACAAAAACAAAAACCACACAAAAAAAAAAACCAAAACATGCAGAGTAATGTGCCACAGCTAATAAAAAGTACCAAGAGTTATATATAAAGATAAAGTATGCTGCCCTACAAAGGGAAATAATCCTGCCACGCTTCCAGTCTTCAGAGTTCAAACAAGGGTTTTGCTGCCCCCCTGTGCTCAACCGACAGAGCAGCACTTTGATGAGTCAAGACTGACAGGCTGGAATTGCAGCTCTGCATGGCTACATAGGAAATGACGTCCTTTACTCATGTTATGTAGAGCGATGCGCACTGAGAAGGAGCAGAGTCCTTACCATAAGTCCATAAAATTGATCAACATGTTTGACAATCATGTCTCTGAAAATGCTGAACACAGTGACATGCCGACAAGGGTCAGAGGCTCCTCGGTGTCCTACTATCCCAGAAGAACCCTCTGCAGGCGGTCAGTGGGCACACTTCTCTCATCCTCTGACTCTGCGTCGCTCTGGGGGTTGGAGCTGCAGGGAGAGGTGCACTCTGGGGAGCACAGGTAGTGCATGAGGGGCAGCCGGTACTTTCCGCAGAAGTCCACAAATTTGATCTGGCGCACACATGAATCAAAGTAGACGCCTGGAGAAAGTGGAGCGTGACAGGAAACACAAGGAGGTAGGTCAGTGACTTGTATTGTTCTGTATGACAACACCTTCACAAACTCAGATGTAAGACCACAGAACCAAACAGCCAACAGTAAAGGGAAAGACAAGTACAGGACAGTTATCCTTTTTTTGGTTGAATTGGTAACAGCTGGTGATAGGGTCACCAACTGTGGGAGATAAGTACACTTTCATTTTAAAGGGCCAGAAGCCAAAATGTTTGGGAACCCCTATCAAAAACAGGCATAAAAAGCCATTTTTAAAAGCTTGATAACAAACAAACAAAGAATAAACAATTCCTAATATTTCACACATTATATCCACTCAACATCAATCCGCATTTTCTTCATACAGGGTGGAAAAAAAAAAAAAAAAAAAAAGTGTCTAACCGGCACACTTAGGGTTGGGACACTTGCTGGCCAGGTCCAGGTAGCGCAGCAGATTTGAGGGTAGGTCGCAGGCGGAGTAGGGAATATTTCGGCTCTTAACTGTACGTCCTGCCAACTCCAGCAGTGAGGGGGGGTCATAGGTCATCTCCTTAACAAAGCGCACCACCAGTGGGTTGCCTCGAAGACTGAGCTCCTGCAAGTGCACCAGGCTGAGGATCTCCCTCGGCAGGTAAGTGAGCAAGTTGTTGTGGAGACTTAAAGATCGCAGCGAGTGGAGTCTGGAGTACAGGGGACTGAAAGGTACTTTGTTTCCACATGCAAAATACACTTACAGGAATGTGCAAGGGAAAGAACACGTACAATTCTAGCTTTTTTTATAATCTGAGGATATTATATGCTTCAGACTAAACTGGTAGGACAGTGGTGGAGTGCTGCAGTTACCTGGTGAGCTGCGGTGGAATACTTTGGATGCGGTTGTCGCATAGCACCAGGTAGGTGAGGTAGGGCAAATTAGCCACTTCAGGAGGAATGGCTGAGATGAGGTTTCCACCCAGATACAACAGCTCTAGACTGACAGAAACATGACAGCAAAAGGGTTCATTCTAAATCAACTTACATGCTTAGAAAATACTGAATAAGCTTAACAAAGTGAAATATAACTGAGATTTTCACATAATATTTAGGTTTGTTTTGGTGCTAAATGCCCAGATATAAAAACAGTACTTTAAACCCCTACAAAACAACAAGCTGTGGTTCTCTTTTAGCAATGCATGGTTTTTAGAAGCTGCAACACCTGCAGTGTGTACTTACATTTGCTATACTGTCATTGTTGTGGTGGTGTTTATATTTTAGAGGGTAAAGATGCTATGAAAGATAACGGGCTCTGGTCTGCTGAGTTTCCCCAAGTTAAAACTCACACACCACAAGGGGGAGTTCAAGAGGCATGGTATCACACTCGTGAGTTGGTGTGGTTGTTCTTGTGTTTCAGGAGTCTACATTAGTCTGAGGCACCACTTAAAAAACAAAAAAAGGTGATGAACAGACACTAAAAGTCCAAAATTATCTCAGATCATGAGGACAATTTTTGTACTGTACAGCATTTATACATCCCACTACGAGTGTACAAACCTAACATCAGACAAACTAGATTATTTATGTGGTGACCTTAAACCACCGCATGAAATATCACTAGACAGTAAAACTGTTGTACTCATGGTTGACAATAAAGGGCCCTGGTAGGTCAATGGGGACATGGAGTACACAGAAGGGTAGGGGTGGGCTGCAATGGATGGCTGATCAGCAAAAGATGAGGCCTGCTCGAACTGATGACACAGCGCTTTAAACTGTTCCTGGTGGCTGACCACTGAGCAAGCAGAGCCAGGACTGAGACACTCAGGGTCAGATCACCGACACAGTGACACAAACCAGCCATCAGATTCTGAATGGTTACTTATGGGGACAATATACAAACGTAATTTTCACAAATAACCAAACCCGCCACCTTTTCCCCCTGGACATTCCATCCAAACATACACTGGGATGATGTTTCTTCTCTATACACATAAAGACAAGGCTGCTGTTATTTTAGGTCAGTATTATACAGTTACATGGTATTATTAACCCAAGCTTGGACTATATTTTGAGATTCAGAATTTCCAGCACTGGCCATGAAAAAAAAAATCGTTGAATGACAAAATCATAGATCGTAGAAGCCAATGTACCCTTTAAAAGGAGCCACAAGGTTACACAACTGAAGTGGGAAAGACTGCAGCAGGCAACTGCAGATTCAGCTGAAGTGGCAGAGGAGAAATAACTTAATAAAAACTCACACACTAGCTAACGATTATGAAGTACAGCAGAAGAAAAGGCCATTCTAATACACACCACATAACCAGAGACGCATTGTGTTCTGGAAGCTTCGTGAAGGTAGAGTTAGATAAGTGCAGTAAATGCAGAAACAATGTGGGGAAAGTCTGCTAGACTCTGAAAGAGAACTGGAAGTTTCAACCTAAGATCCAAGACAATGACTTAAAAAGTCCGTAAATAAAGACTGACGACGTGACAGCTCCCAGAAGTGAAGCCAGCGGTCGGTAGCCCCCCTGCGGACTGGTTCCACCCCGTTAAACCCTGTCCTCTCTGTTCGTGGATGGGACAGGAGCCAAACTAACAATTCAACAAACACACACACACACACACACACACACACACACACACACACACACACAATCAAATAAATGTTTCCCAAAGGTGATGTTTGTCTTTTTAGGTAGATATCACACCACTTTGTCTACAACTGGTCACTGTTTTTAACAAGTTATTTGAGGATATAGAAACATGTGTATTTTTGGATGACTGACCCCTGGTCGTTACCGAGCAGAATCTGGTTAATGAATCACAAATGTAGGATGGCAACCCCCCAGTTCAAATATTTTGGCTTCAAATTTTGCATAGTGGCAATAAGTGGTGACACGTGTCCATTTTTAAATACAGTCAGCACTTAAAAACAACAATGCTATTGTCCTGAGAGATGCTTCATTATGCAAAACCAGAGGTTAGTCCTGGCTTACTTCTCTAAATTGTTTCTAAAAGTGGGAAATCCTCTTTTATAAATCAAGTTTCACATCTGCATGACAAAGTGTGAAAACATACCAGAGAGACTAAAAGGCTCCTCCCCAGCAGCACCTCATACTACTCTATTCTAAAGAGAAGACAAAATAAATGTACACATTTATCACAATTAGAGGTCACGCTTACTGTCTACTAACACTGGGGGGGGGGGGAACAACCTGAGCAAAGCAGAGCACCAAACAGCACTAAGGGGTTATCTTTTCTTATGCAAGAGGTTTTTCAGCTGACCACGTCAGGTATTTCACGATAAAGCTCAGTACTCCTATTCTGCTTGATAACATCCCTCCAGATCAGCCGAGTCAGAGTCCAAACCTCAGTCTATTTCAGAAGAGGTGACATAATGTAACACTTCAGCTGAATCATAAAACATGATATGACCTACACAGTTTTGCAAAGAGGAATAGGGAACACTATGTCCAGATTTAAAAAGCCGATACAAACTTACACACATAATCAATTAGATTGGTTTCTAGTTGTACTTAAATGTATATTCATTAGTATATTTTCTGTGCAGACAACTGACCAGCTCCAGCTAGTAAACATGTAGACTTGGTAGCAAATCAAGATGCCCTCAATTTTTACTTTGACCCTTGTTTTGATCCTCCAGTCTATTTGATCACAACTTATGTTTTGTTCTACTTTGCTTTTCTTTACAGAATACTGTTGGCCCCACTGACACACTATCCTACCCCTGTGTGACCACACACAGCAGTGTCTCTGCCGTTACTTGGTGCAATGTTTTGTTCATTCACTTTAATACATTTTACTAAATTATCCAACTTATTTCCCACGTCTTCCATGGCACTTCTACTTTCTTGCCATTAATAGCTACTGTGAGTTTGTAGATTTCCAAAAACTACTTGTGGACAGTTACTGAAACAGTTTAAGTAAATAATTACCTGCTCACTCATGAACCATGATGTTTACATGTTAAACTCACCAGAAATAAAAGTGGTACACTGAAATAAGGTAGAAGCAGTAGCAAACTAAATACCACTAAACCTACAAACCTGCATTTAAATGACATGTTCATGCTACAGATTGCCAATGTGACTGTCAAGGATATTATAAACACTGCTATAAAGATCCTTGCCAAGTTAAATAAGTGCGTCAATTCCTCTCACTACTGTGAAACAGCGTGTGCGGAAAGTGAGTTTACAATACGTTCTCGGGCACAGCTGATAAAATTAGGTTCAAGGCAGATGTAGCACACAGATAAGTTATGCAACAGATAAATGCTGACTGGAGCAAATGCAAACCAAGACAGCTCCAGACATTTTAGAAGTCAGGATGAACGTCTGCTATTGATGCTCAGTACCTGGAGCGTATGCATCTTGCCATCTGCTGATTATTTTCTTGATTAGCTGTTTATTCATCTGGTAAATATATGTCAGAAAATGGTTAAATAATCATCACAATTTCCCAAAGCTCAAGGTCTCCTTCAAATTGCGTCTCCCTTACAAGTCACCACCAGTGCTAAGAGTATATTAAACAGTAGGTAACTACAGCAAGTAACGTTAACTTACAAGTGACTGTGGAACATAGTTTAAGATAGCTAGCTAGGCTAAACGGCACACTAGCTCACCTATAGCTAGGTTATACAGTCTAGCTATTAGGCTAACTGTTACGTGTACATTACGTCGACCAACATCTACTCCTTGGACATCTTGTAATAGTTATTTTGACTTTTAATGATAGTGCTAAGTTAGCCAATGCTTACATACATACATATATACACTAGAAGATTCTGGGTGTACCTACCTGGTCAGATTTTCTATTTCTGCAGGTATGCTTTTCAGTCTGTTTCCGCCGAGTGAGAGCGAATGCAGACGCAGCAGTTTCATACACTGAAGTGGGATCTCCTCAAATCGGTTTCCACTAAAGTTCAGCGTCTCCAGCTGCAGAGATCCGAACTCCTTGGGCAGCGAAAACTCGTCCAGGCGGTTGTTCTTGGCTACGAGTGTCTTCAGTCTGGTCAGTCGCGTGATGCCATCGCAGATATCCACCAGACCGTTGTTGCTGATGTCCAGAAACTCGAGTTTGCAAAAAAGGCTGACCGACGAGGGGAGCGAGGCTAGCCGGTTGTAGCTCAGGTAGAGCTGCTTGGCGTCCCTTTTCCTCTCGTCACTGATGCTGTCAACGTTAAAAGTGTTCAAACTCAAATGTGAATAATCAAGTACGACGTCGCCTGCTGCCCCCGCATCTTCGTAACTCCCCATTTTGGTCACTTTACCGTAAATTTGCACTCTGAATAAAAAATACCCGCAAAAGTTTTGCTGACGGCCGAAAAGAGAATTAGCTCCAGAACCTACCGTCTACTTTCAACATGAAGAACGTCAATATTTCTTTACACTTATCCGTAACATTTAACCTCATCGCTAGTGCAAATGTAACGTTAATTTAGTAGTGAGGACAAACGGCTGTAGCCATATGTAACTACATGGAAAGCCGACCAGCTGTCCCACAGCACAGTCCGTCTTTGAGGAAAATATTTGCTCCTGTTTTCACAGATTGGCTAGTCCTTTCAAAAATCCCGCCCGGCCAACCGTTGATTGGTTAGTCTCCAAATCCGTCTAATTGCAAAACTTTCAAGTGAAGTGTTTTATGGCACAGTATACTGAGGTTTTTATAACGGTCTACCACCACGTTGCTCGATGAAATTGGGGTTATTTAGGTATTAAGTTTTGCATAAGCGGAGAATGGTGGCGAAATGACGCGTGCCATATGCCATTATGCAACATCCCTCTTGTGTTGTGCAACGCTTTGCTGACTGAACAGATCGTGCACAGAATGGCATAAAGGCACAGGATAACTGGGCCCCGCCTACTATATTCAGACCTATTCATAGTACTGTCGCTGTTCATGTTACTTTACAAGTAAACCACACAAATAGGAAGTAAGGTTTAGGCTACTTGAATATATACTGATTACTACAGATTGGAGAAACTGTTTCTGACTGTAAATACTAGTAAATGTGTAGACTTGTGCCACTTGAATTAGCTAAAGCACTACATACTACTTACGCTACATAATGAGTCTGAAAATGCATTATGTTATTAGACAAAGTATTTTAATTGTTCTAGACAAAATGTGAAAGCTCTTCGTAATAAAATGCACTGAATGCAAAATATCAAGCAGGAAGGATAGTGATGCATTCAGTGGCAAAAAAATAGAATCATAAAATAGCAGAAATAAAACAATAAAGTTACTATAACAGCAGCAATAGCTCTGTACTACTTTCTTAGTCAGTTGAGGCTATGCCATAGCTAATGGGGAATCTCAGTTAATAAACACTACTATTTATTGTTGTCTAACAAAAAACTCCTTCTTTTACTTAGTATTTGAAATTGAAATTTGGCAAATAAAAGCACACAAAACAAAGTGACAGCTGTGTTGTGGTGTATGGGCTTTATTGGCATACGTACATATTCTTTACAGACTCTGCACCTTAAGTGGAATATAAAGATTTACTGTACCTGGAACCTAAAAATGCAACGTTCACATGGACATTTATCAAGGAACAAGTCACAAAGCACTAGTTTACTGCTAAACATCAGCAAAGCAAACTCATTCTTGCTATGCCACATGGCATAATATCCTATGTGCAGGCAAAGGTTGAAACCTACATCTTGCAGGTCTAAGGCACTGATTTTTTATTGTCAAACCTCTCAATTAAGATACAGGATTTAAACAAATAAACACATTTGACAGACAAAACTACTCTCAGCATCACGCTTTTAACAGCACACTCAATCACACACATGCTTTATAAGCACCCAGTTACTGATGTTTCTAAACTACTTTAAATGACAGTGAGGCTAATCCTTCTGTTAGAGTGAGTTTGAAAGCACAGGTATAGTGTTGTTGCTGGGTCCAGAGTAATGTTTTACCTGGAGAGTTTTGTACATCATTTAAACACTTCATCAAGACTTTGGTTTCAGATTTCACCATGCTATGCTCAGATCAGGCCTCACCTGGGTGCAGTTGTGCTGCATCACACTGAAAGCTGAGCTGCTATGCCTTTGTCTCAGTTATATAAGACACAGACAAGGAAATGTTTAACCAAAAATCACAAGAGAGAGCTGGACTGAGCATAACATGGGAACAAGGTGAGTTTCCACTCAAGCCAATAATACACTGTACATAAAAACAATTTGCAGAACTTTTTTGCAACAAAATTATTACTTTAGCACTAAGATACAAACAAATGTCAGGCTTGTGATAAACTATGTCTAAGAAAGCTAGAAAGAAAGAAAGAGAAGTGCACTGTTCAAGTAGTAGCCTACTGTGGCAGTAAATGCAACAAAAACAGTATCACTAGTAGCTTTACCCTCTTATCCCACATTTTCAAATCAAACTGCTATCCTATGAAGGTGTGGAGAAACATGCTGCACCAGGTGTCAACTAGTGAGCTTTCTTTGTGCTCCAACAGTTGCCTCTTCTCATCAGGTAGGTTCTCCAAGTTCCTAACATAACTACCTTCTCAAACAGTGACTTCCATATTCTAAAACAGTAACAACTTGACAATTTATTTTATAATAACTGTAAAAATATACGGATTGTAGTAAAAATAGCCCCAGGGCTAGTGTAGGGACACAGTAATACAATCAAAAATGACAGTACTGAACACAAGGGAATCCTATAATAATCAATGCTAGCCCCTCAGTCTAATAGACATCCACGCAAACATATAAACACTGTAAAAATGTATAATAATTAACATAGCTGAGAACCATGACCGAGTCCGTTTAATAACAACACACGGCCGCAAGATAAATCAAGTATAGAAGAAGGGTGATTGCGTGCTTCCTCTCCTTCGCTGCATCTTTACTTAGGCATCCTTTGTGCTGCTCTTCATCTTCTCAGCTGTTTCCTGTTTTTAAATGTTGAAAAATTACAGAAAAGTGAATTATAACATACAGTATAACATTAATTTTTTCTTAATTATTAATACAAATACTGTACAGATGTCACCCTTTATTCCTTAAAATCAAAACTGTATTTTGAAGCCAGGGCCTCGTGATGAATTTACAGCATAGGGAGTTTTACACTGTAAAAAAACTCATGTTTGTTTACAGTGGCATTATGAGCTGCCCTTCTTGACTGCAATACATCTACTTGCTGAATCAGCTATGGCCTCGTGCTGGAGCCCTCGTGCTACCTTGTGACCCTCATGCTCTCATACAGATATATAAGAGAGCACGCACAACAGCAGACATGCCATAAAACAGTAATCTACTCTTTACGTTTAAGGTCAGTGAGACTGTACAGGTTTCAGAAATAGGTTTTTACAACTTAATTCTTAGGTTAAAGAGGTTGTAAAATGGCAATATCCATCTAGACAGGTTGCATGTTGTACATAGAACTGGTTGGAGGCTGTGGTAATACTTGTTTTTAATTGTTATACAACTGCTATTAGACAATTGCTACTGTTTGCTCAGACACATTATACATCTGTTTTGATAAAGGAGGATATATTTAGGAAGAGTATGTAGGTCTTCAAGACCTTATGTGAAATACACAGTGATACTTATTTTTTTATCAATTCTTTTACTTGTTTCTATAACACTGACAAAATTAGCCCACTCTGTTCTAAGTGAACTGACTTTCAGGCATGTTTCCATAATTGTCATATATTATAACAGGCTGAGTAATTAATAAACCTGCATTGTACTCCTATAACAAAACTATCAAAATCATTACAGCAGAACCAGAAGTATTATCGTTTTTATTCCAAGCATTCCCCTTAGTTTTCAAATCCTGGCTCCTACATTACCCACAATCCAACCTGCCTGTTGACTCTTCTTTTTACCGCATATACTCAGTATCATAGTCATGGTCATCTTATAGTTTTATTGATCTAATTTCACAAACATTTTTCCCATTAAACCCCCCCCCCCATTTGAGTCATGAATCTGCTATACAGACTGTAAAGCCCCTTGAGGTAAATTTGTGATATTGGGCCAGACAAATAAATTGACCTATTTATTTCACAGGTTTTAATATTGTTTCACTTTTCCTGCCAGGAGTCATAAAGCTGCTGATACCCAGGCTCACTGAGCGGTGTTCGATTGGTACACAGTCACATAAAAAGTTACACCTTCCAATTCCTCTGTGAATTGCATTGTGCTGGCTGAGCAGTTTGATTCAAATACTCTTTGTCCTGAAAGACACTGCAATTAATCAAAGTTGTATCCTAAAGGAATCTAAAAGCAGACACTTGGGTTTTGGCTCACGTCACTGATATTACATGGATCTTATCACCAAGTGGAATCCAATGAGCAGTGGGCAGTGATGAAGCTTTGAAATATACTTTAGAAGTTGTAAATGTAGCCAGATCTTTTTTCCTTTTGTGTAGAGAAACTGTGGAATGTGCCCCTGATTTATATTGATAAAAATATAATTACATTACAATCTTTAATGTTTCCAGGGCTTTTTCAAATTACAAACACAGACCTGGTGTTTGTTGAGCTCAGCCACACGGAGGTTCCACTCCTCCTCTGTCATCTCTGCTCCAGCATCTGCTGAGTCATCCACAGCTGCAGTTTTGTCTGGACAGATAACAGAACAATCAATCGCCATGGCTGCAAGGTATTTGTTTTCATGTGCAAGTTGATTAAAATAATCAAAAGGATAAATTGTATAAAGATCATTTCCAGTATTTTAACTAACCAGTACAGGTCATAGCTGTGCAGACCCAGTTGCCGCATGCACAAACACAGCGGTTACACTCCACCTGGGTCTCTGCTCCATCTTCGTATGTCTCATCCTCCAAGGCACATTCTGCAGAAATGCATATTTCATGACATGACTATTCAGCTAAGAACACTGATAACAGACTACAGTAGGATGATAACAGAACAACGTTATAGTGCTATCACTTTCCATGAACATGATTTGTCACTATGTCAAAATGCCACATCATTCATCCAGTAGCTTAATTTTAAAATCACATGCATTGCTTTGGTTAGTTTTGTGTTACTAACGAAAAGTCAGAAAATCTGTCAACACCTTAGATAAACAGAAATTAAGCATGTGTGTCAAATGTTATATGTAAAAAAAGACATTTCCAACCATTTAAGATGTATAGTAAAACTCTCTTGTAGGTTTGAAAATATTTTTTGTGACCATAAGAAGACGGTATATGTTATAAAGCTAGAGTTTTAACAAATAATCCACAGCAGGCTGGCCAAATTGTGTGTGCGTGTGTGTGTGTGTGTGTGTGTGTGTGTGTGTGTGTGTGTGTGTGTGTGTGTAAGGGTTAAGGTTAGTCATTTGATTATAATGGGTAAGGTTGAGATTTATGGCTAGGAATAATACTATATGTCATGTCACTGAGTGTCCCCACAACCATAGAAAAAGAAATGTATGTTTCCTTGGCTGTGGTGAAGCTCCAGGATGCAATGCTTCATAGTGAATGGAAGCTTTCTTTGTGTTGGAGGAATGCCTCGGCTTCCTGTGAACTTTGTCCCAGATATATTGGCATCAAATGACTAAGCGGGCTGAAGAGAGCTCTGGCTGCATTGCCAACTATTTACAAGAGAGTTCCAGTGAGATTCACTGGTACAGTTTGCTGGGAGTCTGGACTGCCTAACTAAGTTTTTGTCAGTGCATCAAGATATGGCTAAAAGTACCCCTACACCTCATTGAAATAATGCTCCACTCTTGTGAAAAGGCATGCCTGCATGCCTTTGGTTCACTGTAGAATAAAAAAGGAGTTAATTCTCACCTTTTCTACAAAAATATTCTTAAATGGCCTGGAAAAAATTATTGGTACACCTTAGAAGTGGTGCTGCATAAGAAGATTGTAGTGATGTTTCAAGCAGCCCACTGTCTCACATGTATCTTTATTCATATAATCAGTCATTAAGCTTGTTTAAATGGAGAAAAGTCCTCAGTGGTCTCCTCGCATGCACCACATAACATGAACAAGAGAGAGAAAAAAGACAGTTATCGGGGCAATGAGGATAAAAAATATTTGCCAAGCGTAATCAAGGTAAAGCTATAAGAACATCTCCAAGCAGCTTGATGCTCCTGTGACTACAGAAGTATCAAGCATTGCAGCTTTAGAGTCAGTGGGACTGTAGTCAACCTCCCTGAACATGGCAGCAAGACGAACTTGACCTCAGACTGAACCAAATGATTTGAATGGTCAAAAAAAGAACCAAAAAAAAGAAGAATAAAACTGATAGAAGATTTCAAGGAAGAAGAGGAAGACCCACAAACATCTATGAAAAATGGAATTGAGAATATTGGATTCCAATAATCTTTGTTAGTTGAAACTGATCTCAGACAAAATGGCATGTTCTCTTTTGAAGTGGCATGATACCAGCACTTAAAGCCACACCTGTATGTGGCTGTGTGTGTAACTTTATGTTACATAATGTCAGAGTATACAGACTATCACTTTAGGCTCACTCTTCTCTGGTGGATTGAAGCCAGGCTTCAGGCAGTTGAGAAACTCATCAAAGCTCAGCTTCCAATCAGCATTCTCATCAGAGAGTTCAATGAGGGCATCGACACACAGGCTCCTGGGAAACACACATCCACACACATTAATGCAAACACCAAATGGTTATCACCTGTTTCATAATGTGACATAGAAAAAAAGCACACTGTAGAAATGATAATTAGAGAGTTTTATGCCACATTGCACAGGTGTTTATGCCAATGTGGGCTCCCACAGGAGGCCTTCAGTAAAGTGTGCACTGGCCCAGATAGGGTTTGTTGACTTACACCGCATACCTTAAAATAGCACCACAGCACACAGATACAGACAGGTGACAAATGAAAGGAAAAACCAACATAAAGTATTTTATCAAAGTGCTGGGCCACCATGTGCCACCAGAACAGCTTCAGTGTGCCTTGGCATTGATTCTACAAGTCTCTGAAATCTACTGGAGGGATGAACACCATTCTTCCAAGAGATATTCCCTCACTTGGTGTTTTGATGATAGTAGTGGAGACGCCGTCTGACACGTTGCTCCAAAATCTCCCAAAGGTATTCAACTGACCGTGAAAGCCACAGCATATGAGTCACACCAACCTGAGCAGCCTGTTGCTCTCCTGGTCTGCGTAAGACTGCAACTCCGCGACTGACTCGTTGTGCTGGATGAATCTGAGGAGTTCTGTGGAGTCCATCTGAGAGTCACCATTGTCATATGACTGCAGAAACATAGGAAAGGTACAGTTAATGTCTACAAATGGTAGAATATGAACATGTGAGCATGATTACTAGAAATATTACTCAGAAAGAAGGCACTGATGTTTCTTTTAAAAAGGTCAGTCCAGGCAGCCAGTAAATTAGCAGCCACTTCCAGAGAAAGAGGACAACAGTTGCCATGACAATCACCTGTAACTCTGATGCTAAGGGATTTCAATTTGGCATGAGCACCCCCAGTACTAGCTCTACTTACAGCCTGTATTTATTCAGTAATATTTTAAAGTGGGACTGGAGCAGAAGTGGGTGCAGGGCTACATGCAAAATTCAATTCATATACTCATTTTTAGCATAAATGTTTATTCACTGGTCACACTGAGTTAACATCAGAGCTGCTTGGTGGGTGTTAATCTAATGTATTGGGTTTATAATGCAGCCTCTAACAAAGCCTTTGCAAATAGTTTGCCAGTAATGACAGTGGACCTTTTAGATCATTAAAAACCCATTATATAGCCATGTATTTTGCTGGTGGAAACATTCATGAGATGTTATATAAAGGCATCATTAAGTATATTCTCTAAATGTGCAGCACCTTTTATGATGGGGAACACTAGATGAATAAATACTGCTGTTTAATCAAAGTGTTCCTAGAGCCTTCTGCTCTTCTGCACTAATGCCACACATGTCAGCCCACAGGGTGGTGGGGTCCTCCTCCACAGGACAAAGATCCTATAACCATCAACTGTGACATGAGTAATTAGATACAGTCTGGGGCAGCTTTAAAGATGAGGGCCCACGTGGATAAATAAACTGGGCTAGTCTATAAAAAGAATGTAAGATCATTGCTGTGCACTAACAGAGACCACAGCGCACTCTGTCTTTGTGCACCCCAACAGAGGAAAGAAGCCCACCTTGAAGTATTTCAACAGGGTGTCAGAGAAGTTGGATCCTTGGACAAACCAGCCGTCTGGGACAACCTCAGTCTGCAGCCACTGGATCACCCGACTCCTCAGCTCATTGCGATCAGCAGCATAGCATACCACTGCAACAGTCCCATAGGTCAGCAGAATTAATAAATAATCCGAAGGATGAACTCTATCTCACAAGCTGTTTCACTGGTGACCTCTGTCCTTTTGTGCATACGTCATTATTTGACTCAGAAGAACGAGGTTAACAACACTCTGACAGTGTCTCAGATTATTTAGAAGACAATAACAATTTGAAGCTCATTTTTATAGTTTATTGGAATCAGGACCACTATGTTCTAGCACAGGAACATAATAGTTCAAATTTAATACATCTGTGAACCATGATCTAAATCAAAAAATAATCCTGAATTTATGTGGGCCAACTTATATTGTGAATACTTTTAAGTCTTTAAAACATAATTTCATTAACACATATATGTACATCTTGGTGACAAATAAAAAAAAAGAATAAGTGCTCTCTTCCAGGATGACAATGCCCCCATCCATAAGGAGAAAGATTTGATGAGTATGAAAATGATGTGAATCATACACTAGGGCCTTCACAGTCACCAGATCTCAGCCCAGTTGAACACCCATGGGAGATTTTGGACCAATGTGTAATATTCTTCATCATCATCATTCAAACACCAAATGAGGGAATATCTTTTGGAAGAATGATGTTCATCCCTCCAGTAGAATTCAGATTTGTAGAATGTCAAAGAGCACTGAAGCTGTTCTGGTGGCACATGGTGGCCCAGCACTTTACTAAGACACTTGGTTTTTACTTTAATTTGTCACCTGTCTGTATATGCGCAGGAGCAAGCATGCACACACACCACAAAACTCACCTGGACTGGCAGCTGGTTGATCTGTTTTCTTCTCTATGGGTGATTTATAAAAAAAAGAGGAAAAGAATATATTTAAGCCAAAAAAAAATCAGCTGAATTATTTTGACATGATCCAGATTAATCAAGATAAACATAGCTTTTGCTTTGTACTTGGTCAAAGGTCTGTAAAGAGGACAGTGTGACATAACTGATGATCAGCTCAGTGCAGTGACTTATATGGTTGCCTGTCAACCTAGTCACCCCAGCTATCAGTTCTGTGAATATGGGCTAGTTCAGAGAGCAGGTCAATTAGAGTAGAAAAGGCCAGCAGATAGTCATGTTGGGATAATAAAGCACAGAACCTACTGTCTGTATCGAGCCAATGCTGAACCAAGCAATAACAAAGCTGGACTTTAATATTTGAGCTTCCCTCCTGCACTTCACATGATTCCTAACAACACAACACTTAGGAACAGAAATACACTAATCTGATATGCTGGATTGGTATTAATGGCAGTGTGCAGTATACTTACAGATATTAGTATAAAGACAAATCTATAGTAAATACAGTATCTTGGTCAATAACATTAGAACTTAATTACTTGGCAAATTAATTCAGTAATGGCAGGCCGCCATTTAGTGCCACAGCAGTGCCTGGTCTCCTCACATTATCTTACATAAAACTGATTCCATAGAGATTTATGCACTCTGCTTTTTAGTAACAACAGAGCACTGGTTGCTCAAGCATTGGTACTTGATATCTGCAGATACCCTGAACTGAGGTATCACAATGAGCACTAGGAGAAAAAATACTGGCCTTGTGCATCCCTTCATAGAAAGACTGTTGAGTGTTTTATTCAACCTCTACTACATTATTGTCATTGCCATATATATAATGAACAGAAATGACACAGTCTTGCACCCTATTCAAATTTGGTACCTCCATTAGATGAAATACCCTGGACTATCTGGGCATTTCATTGCCCTTGATGAGAACATTTTTTAATTATTAATGCTTATATTATTGTGGTCGCTAATGTGATATTAAAAGTGACCTTGAAACAGCAGCTGACAACACTACTGACAAGCCTATGAACACAGATGACAAATCCTTAAAGCGGACATATTAGGTGTTTTGTTCTGGTCTTTGCATATTAACAGAAAACATCTAGGACACTTCAGCACTGGGCAAACTTAATTTGCTGAGATGTGAGACTAATGGACTGTGTGGTAGAACAGTTTTGTCAACAGTTTTATCTTGTGCATTGGTACTAATGCTGGTGCTGTACCCAGGCAGTGTCCATCATGGGCCACTTGGATCTTCAGGCCAGTCAGACAGGCATCTCTGTGGAGCTCGCAGTGATTTCTGTACGTCTTACCATTGCTGCCACACACTGACCTCTTGTGGGGCTTACAGCTCTGGAAATTAGAAGAAGAAGTGATGTCACCACCAAGATTGGATAACTGTGTGGGTGAGGCAGACAAGTTCATCAGGAACCCCCAAAACTCAAAGTTTACTGTGTGGCAATTAGTGATACTAAACATAACTGTATTCTGGAAATTACAAGTTGAATATAATTATACTGAATAATTTAAGTGATATACTGTATGTGCACGCATACCAATCATAGGTCAAAATATTGCCAAATCCGGCTGAATTACAAAAGCCCTAAGTGTTACATAAGTGAAAAGCTGTTTGGGAGTCAAAAGAGTCATCTCATTGCTCAGCTGAGCCAAATGATCTGAAAGAGTTGGTATTCCCCTCAGTAGTGGCAATTGTTTTATAGAAATCTGATTAAGTGCAATTAAGTTTGGGAATCTGAGAATGTGGACTACTAAAGCATGGTATCGCCTGGGCCCCAAAGAAGGGCCCTGCTTTAGTACCTTATCTTGAAAAGGGTGCCTTTGTCAAAATCTAGTTCTGAGATTGTCTTGACACTTTATATGATACATATTACAAAACTGCATTTAAATCACCATGAGGCAAACTTGTGGTTGCATAAGATTTCAGATCAGAAATACACAGTTGCAGTGACACCAGCTGAGCTGCAGAGCCATGCCCCCAACACTAACCTCTATGCACAGACAGCTGGGCTCTCCCTTCTCACTGACAGCGCACTCTCTGCCAGCCCCACAGAACACATTGGCACACACTTTGCTCTTGCTCTGCAGCTCCTGAAAGAAAAGAAAACATGTTTGTAATTTAAAAATACCATTGGTTTCTACGGGTTTCACACACAGGGCGGCACTATTGCACTGATAATGGCATGTTTGAAAGCATTATGGAGGTGTTGACCACATTCTACAGCACATACACCAATTTGCATATATATACCATCCATCCATCCATTTTCCTACGCTTATCCGGGACCGGGTCGCGGGGGCAGCAGTCTAAGCAAAGATGCCCAGACTTCCCTCTCTCCAGACACTTCCTCCAGCTCCTCCGGGGGAATG